TCAGAGGAGCGGGCGGAAAAGAGAGCAAAGCTTTCCGGTCTGCTCTTCCGGACTGAGGTGAGGGAACTCCCACGGGGGGGGGGGGGGGACGATCTCAGACCAGACGCGTGAGCACAGGCGGGTCAGTTTTCGTCCTGTTGCGCTAACAGAAAGTGTCCCTCACGGACAGGAAGTAAAAGTGGCTCTGAACAGACGCCGCTGCAGATCGACGCGCACGTGGAAAATCCAAATATTCATTCCTAAATGATCATGGGAATCAACACGAGTGAGACGTAACATGCATCCTAACCTACCGCCACTCTGGGGGGGGGGGGGGTCAGAGAAAACCAGAACCCTGACTGGCTGAGATGAGATCCGACCCCCCCCACTAAGCAGAGAGCCGGCCCATTCCGGACGCAGCCGGGCGAGATATTTTGGGGTCGGGGGGGTCAGTAAACATTCTGTCCTCCCACATGCAACGCAGCCGATAAAAAGAAAAGGCAACACACCCAGACACGACAAAGGGAAGACCATTTCGTTTAACAGTTGACATTCTCAGGCGCCCGAATCAAACGTCGCTTAACATTCGTCAGACAAAACAAAGAAATACCACCACCACCACCAAAAAAGGTTACATTTTTGCAATTGCCTTAAAAATCTTGTGGTCCCCGGACCCCCCCCCCCGCTGTGAGCTGCGTGGGGGCGCGGGGGGGTACGAGCGTATGTACACGGCGCTCGCCGCACCCTTTGGCGAGTTCTGTGCCGTCTTTTGAGAGAGCGGGAATGGAAGGCGGCGTGCTGCTGAGTCCCAACGCAGCGCAAAAGCTTTTCCAAAGGGATCGTCGAGTAGAAAACATACACCAGCGGACAAAGAGGGAGAGACTCCGCCCCCTGGTGCACGTGTGTGTGTGCGTGTGCGTGCGTGCGTGCGTGCGTGTGTGTGCGTGATGTTGGTGGAGGAACAAACTTACAGGCAGAACGACGCCACAGTCAGTATGAAAGACGCACCGTGGCGGAAACGACTGAGGGGGGGGGGGCAAAGATGATGTGAAGCGTGTTGCGTGCAGAATGACGGGATGCAGAGCGACTTCCATCCTAAGTGCGACAGTTCAGTTGGTGGGATGACAGATGATGCTGATGAAGAAGAGGGAGGAGACGGAGAAGAGGAAGGGGGTGGGGGGGGGGGCAGCTCAGATGCATGACTCGTGGCTGCGTGCGAAGGCGGCGGGCGGGTCTCCTCCTCCTCCCCCCGCCCCGGAGGAGGCGCTGGGGAGGGGGTCGACCTGCTCTGCGGCCTCCTTGGTGACGGTGCGAGCCTCCTCCTCGGACTGGGGGACGAACTCGGGGTGGGACATGAAGCTGTGGATGGAGCTACGGGACTCTGGGCTCTCCATCGGGTAGAGGGAGCTACGGAACGCGTTCACCACCTTAATCTGCAACGAGAGAACAGCAGCGTCAGCGGGCGCGAGGTGGAGGAGGAGGGGGATGTCAAACAGGCAGGTGGAGGGCGGGGGGGGGGTCATGTAAGGTCGAGCTTCCGAATCCAGGCATGGAAGTGCAAAAACACAACAACAACAACACAACGTTCACAAGAGGTCGCCGGGATGAGAACCAAAAGAAAGCCACGAAACATCAACACGAAAAAGGTAAACAATAAATAAATGGTGCAGCAGGCGACTGAACGGGGCATCAAACACACACACACACACACACACACACACAAGAATCAAACACTGACTGTCATGTCCCGAATTATTTCAACTCTGACGTTATTCAAACACACACACACACACACACACACACGTGTATAAATATAAGTAAAGTCGTCCCGTAGTGGGAGGAACGTTGAGCATTTACATAAAGTATAAATATAAAGTATTGTGGTCTTTGATTCCCTCGTTGAAACGGGGTCGGTTCATTCTTCTGCTTTTGTCTTTAGCGACAAAAGATGAGAAACGGCGAGATGACTCACTCCGCAGAAATAAGCTCCTTTTAAAGCCTTTTTCTTAATCGTTTCCACGTCGTCACGCAAAAGGAGCTGAACTCTCCACGTCCAGGCTGAATACGCGATTCCTTTTACATTTGATGAAGTTTCAAACGGCGTCTGAAGATGGAAAAGTAACATACTAACAACACGCGTGAAAACATTGAGTGTGAAGCAACCTAAAGAGGTTAAGAGCCCTGTGAAGAGTATTAACGCAATTTGCGATTTCAGGGCAAATTAACCCAAAAGATGTCGATGAATTAAATTCCTATGTATGTATAAACATGCATAAATAAGACTATTAACGTGAAAACTTAAACTTAAACTGCTAATATTAAGCCTTTATTGTGTCCCCCGAACAGAAGACGTTCAAAGCATCCCGATCCCCACTAAACAACAACGTGCACACACACACACACACACACACGCACACTTGGGAAAAACAACAAACACATGCACACTGTTAAGTATTTATAATCACGCTCCGAGCCAGAATCATTTTGTCCTCCAGCCGCTCTCGTCTCGCTGCCTTAAGTCGTTCCTCTTTCATGAATCCACGGAGGCGGCAGCTGATCACACTGATTTATACGCACCAGCAGACACTCTTCATCTTAATTAATAACCCTGCAGTTCAAAGCTCTCTATTAGGGAACCACACGAGAGCTGCATGCAGAGCACTGCAGCTAAGAGCATACATGCAACTATCGCACACACACACACACACACACACACGTGCACACATCAAAAGCTCCTGGCTGTTAAACCATGAGAGACTTGCTGAGCCTGACAGATTTAACCCTGCTCAGGATTAACCCACAACATTATCTTGGCGCCCAGGATGTCGCATTAGAGAAGAAGAATAAAAACAAATAAAGGAAAATAAAGCAGGATTTCTTTTTTTTAAGCTTCTTTCGCCGGCCAACGGTTGAGCTCTTTGGTCGACCCGTCGGGCAGCAAGTCACGTCAGGGTTAATAGACGCATGTTCAAGAGTTTAAATCTCCCACAACATGCGGGTGGAGGAGAGGCGGCGGGCTGAGACAGCGATGAGAGATAATTAAAGGGAGAGGAGAAGCAGATTGAGACGGAGGGAAAAGCTGCGGACGTAAGTGATGTAGGAAGCACAGAGATGGAATCACAGATCAGTTGATCCGCAGGTTCACTTTTAGTGAACCGTAAATGGTTTATCAAATAAAGCTGTATCTTACAGTAATTCCAAACAAAGAATACCCCAAAACCTGTTGATCGGCCCCTGTAATCTCAGATTTTAATATTTCTGGATCTTTCATTAACTTTCAGAGCTCAGCTAGCAGTTTCCCCCTGCTTTCAGTCTTTATGCTAAGCTAGGCTAACCAAGTCCTGACTCCAGCTACTTACCAGACGCCCAAATATGTGAACCTGAGATCCATATCAGTGACCTTTTACCGAAACCATTTCATCAGTGGATCACTTTTAAATTCTTTTCAAGGGATTTATGATGATGAAATCCTAATATGAGGCTTTACAGCTCAAAGATTATTCCTAGACAGTTTCTACAGCTTCAGCTACACTTCCTGAGCCCTTATTTATTCGGTCTGTCTCCCCAGACGGTTATTGATAGATTGATCGGACATCGATCCGGAGGTGGCGTTTTAGTGCCGGTGATTCATGCAGACAGAGGAGGAGAAAGAGAAGCGTCCAGCCGGGTGAAGCGAGGTGTTAGCTGGCCTCCGGTCACCGACTCACTGCCTGCAGTGGAGGAGGAAGCAGCGGCGGCGGCGGCAGGGGGCGGGGCCCCGGCCGAGTTGGTGAGAGAGGAGGAGGCGCTAAGCCCTAGGTGGGTGGGGCTAGAGAGAGTTTTGGCGGCGGTGGCGTCATTGTGCTGGCTGACGACGGAGGGCTGGCGGCGCAGAGCGCCGGGCACCGGGGCCTGGCCCGTCTGGAAGGTATAGACCACATCCATCTGAAGGAAGGACAGCCACAACACAGCGTTAGAGAGCAGAGGGAGGTGACAGGACAGAGGGAACATGGAGGGAGGACAGACTTCTGCAGGGAGGTTAGAGAGGCTTTTCCAGAGGTCTGAAGGTCAGTAATCATACGTCATGTCAACAGACAGAAGAAGAATAAGTTACCCAGCAGCACACGACAAAAGGCAAAGACACTTCCCATCCCGTCGACGCACACAGGGAAAGTGAGAGAAGGAGTGAAGGGGAGGGAGAGGTCAGGAGGGAGGTTTTTAGAGAGGGAAAAAGACGCCATTCAGTCAGCGAGAGACAAAGTAGGAAGACGCTCGGATAGGACGGAGGGATGAAGGAGAGAGAGAGAGAGAGAGAGAGAATGAGGAGCTTTTTGAATCCAGCACTTCGTAGAGGGGAAAACGTGTCACTCTGAGAGGCTGATAAAGTTCGTTCCAATTATTCCCCCACTGTGTGCGACTGTCGAGGCGTTGAGCGGCGCAACGCTGCCCGCCAGGATTAGAGAGGAGGAGGACAGGAAGAGGAGCGTGGAGAGATAAGAACCTAATTAGCTCGCAGCCTTTCGTTCGCCTCCCCCTCCATCCTCCCTTTCTCCATCCTCCCTTTCTCCATCCTCCCTTTCTCCCAGGAGGATGTCAGACTGATATTACAGATACGCAGACGTGGAGGGAGAAAAGAGAGAGCGAGCCTCCTCTTTTCTCTGCAGCGTGTCTGCCGGCGGAGCGGCAGACGAGATTTCTGTTTTCTCCTCGCATCACTTCCTCCGCTCACGGCGCCCTGCGGGCGTCGCGGAGGGCAGCTCAAGGTTATTTCCTGACACGTCCTTTTAGTGGCTTCTGATCGTATCACGCGATCTTCATCAGCAGGAGGAGTTGTCAAGGTGTCATTGAGTTAGATTCCGATTTTAGGAAATCCAGCTTCTACAAAAAAGGTCTCGGGTAATGTGAGGTTGTTTCAGAGTCCATACAGTCAGAACAATAGGTACACGTTACTCCCCCACAGGGAGGAAAGCACCTGACTGACTGACTGCGTGTGTGTGAGCGTTGGCGGCTGTTACTGCAGGTGGGTGTTAGCATCGAGGCTAATGAACCCAATAGGGACTGAATAGGACTGCCTATGGACATGCTAATGCTCAACGAGTGTAAATGCAACCTGTAGGAGGAGGATGGCGCGCACACACACACACACACACACACACACACACACACACACACACACACACACACACACACACACACACACACACACACACACACACACACACAGATGAGTCACAGGCTAAGACGACGCTGTGAAGGTGCTGCTGTTTCGCTCCAACGCCGACTGGGTGAAGAGGATAAATATCCAGTGAGCCGTGAGTTTTTGTTAAACCTCCCGTTGGACCTCCACCGTGTGTTGCTTCTTTCCTTCAGAGATCAACAACATCAATAATCCAAAACACATTTAAGATTTGTTACAAGTTGAGACGTGAGGTTCAGCGAGTTTATGTAGAAAGAGTCCCGGTAAATAATGGTTGTGATCACGTAGATGATGTGGTGAGACGACCAGATGTTTCACCTCTGGGGTTTATCTTGAACATGCTGGAAGACTCAGAGATTTTAATAAACTATTAAACCTGCTACTAATCTTTTTTTTGCCCTTTTCTTAACATTTAACATCTTAACACTTCACATCTATCCGCTTGTGTGCGTCTAATTCTACAGCAAACTCCAGCTCAGAAACGTTCGTCGAGAATTGAATCTCTCCTCGGCGTCCTGATGGAACACAGCTCATTACTGCCGCTGATTTCGGGAGGTTTGTTTGATTTTGGGAGGATGAAGGCGAGGAAGAGGAGGAGGCTGCAGATGAATCGGAGTTTCTTTTTGCAGATGACAGCGCTCAGAGATTTACCCAAACAGGTTTGAACAAACATTTCACCAATGAGACAAGCAAACAAACCCAAAACAATAGAGCTTAAGTCGAATTTTCCTTCCTGCGTCACCATGGCAACAAATGTTTCCTGCAGCTGAAACAACAAGACATTTGAGTCTCCACCTTGGAAACCTGATATCTGTGGAGGGGGGGGGGGGGGTTCAGAGCGGCGTACCTGCGTCTGGATTCGGTTCAGACCTCTGAACCAGAGGATCTGGCCTCTCCTCATCTCCATCTCGGCGTGGTCGATCTCGTCGGCGCCCTCCGTCAGCTCCTCCTCGTGCATCTCCTCCTTCGTGGTGCCGTGACCGGCTTCCTTCAGGAACTTCAGGCGGTGGGTGGGGATGGCGGAGATCAGCTGATATTGAACAAAGACAAAAACAGGACGGTTGAGGGATCGATGGGTCATCGTTCATTCTACACAACCTGTGAGGAAAAAGCCGTGAAGCTCGGAGACCAAACCGAAGTGAAGGTTCAACAAAGATGTGCTGTCCCGTTGCATTATGGGAAATGTAGGATCCAGTGATTCTGGAGCTGGCCTCATTCAGGGACTCAAAGATCTGTCTGTCGTCGTATTTTACAACGTGGTCCAAAGAAAGTCCAACAAATCCTCTCAACAACGCTCTGGTAATTGGAAATGAACCAGTTCTAAACCCTGGAGTCTGTTTATCCAAATAGTATAATACTAATTACTACTACTCGGTTTCAACAACCGTAAGTTCTCCAGCAGTGTGAGCGCGGAGAGGGAAACACTAGAGCAGAGATCATGAATCACGACTCAGTGATTAAAGCCAAACACTGATTAGTGAAGTCTAATCTTTATCTGCGACTGAACGCCACGTTCAATAGACACCCAGAGAGAAGAAGGGATTCGAATGTCATCGTTTCTGAAGCTTCCAACTGTTCAGCTGAGCTCTAATAAAGTCCCCTTAAGTCTCACATAAGAAGTGCAATATTCTCTAATAACTCTAATAAACATAAAAGTTATTTCTGAGACAAGTTTGACAATCTGGATTCCTGAAAGCTTGGAGTAGTTTTTTTTACAGTAGAAATCCTCTTAAATCAGCTACGACCTCAAATGGCAAATACAACACTGATAAAAACAACAACAAAAAAGGTTACTTTTATCTCTGTTCATTTATTTCCATTGTTGCATCATAATTATGTTGGATCATTATTTTATCGTTAATCACACACCAGCTTTTTATAGTTGTGTCACCTTCTCTTCGTTAGAAGCAAAATACAGACCTCAGATCAGCCTGTTTCTGTCAGCATCTGTTCTCAGTCTCTGCCCTCCAACTGAACCAGCAGGCTTCCTGCGCCTTAACTTCTTCTTCTATATAAAGTAAGCTTTCTAAACCCGTGTGTGTGTGTGTGTGTGTGTGTTTGTGAGCTCGCACACAGAGACCGACACGCTGGGTTTGTTTTCCCTCGGCGCTCATAAACAGCAGTCGCGCTGCGCTCATGTGCCGCGCTCATCACCATGGCGATGGTCGTGATGGCAACGCTGCAGCAGCCGTGTGACAGATCAACAGCTGCCTCAGACCTCGTGCATCCACCTCGTCATCTTCCCCGTCTCCTCCCGCTCGCCAATGCGTTACTCACAGAGATCAAGGGAGCAGGACGCCCTGTGGTTCTGGTTCTGGTCTCACCTGTCCCCAGAGGAGCTCTCCCACGCCGATGAAGACGCACCACAGCCACTGGTCGATGGTCAGAGCCGTGCAGGAGAACGGCTTCCCTCCGAACTGAACGATGACGATCTGAGAAGGAGGAGAAGCAGCCGGCTGGTGTTAGCTGAGCTACCGTCCTTTATCAGGATCAGTTTGTGTTTGTTTAAAGTATTAACTGGTAAATCTACAGCTCCATTGTTGTCCAGAAACCATCAAACACACGTCAGTGAGTTTTACACAAGCAAATTCTGTGGATTAATCCGCCGCTGGAGGCAGCCGACAACTTTAAACACAATTCTTTGTGCATATTCACATTGAAATCCAGCCCGTTAAAGCTGCAGCGACGTCCTTCGGGACAGAAAACAGATCATGACACTACTGCGTCATTAGCTCCGCCCCCAGTGGGTTTTGTTCTCAGGTCGTTTCTTAGTCACCAGGATTCTGAGCAAGAAGCCGCTGACAATCGACTTAAGACCGGCGTTACCTGCAGGGCGAAGGTCCCCAGCACCACGGTGCAGAAGATGGGGTTCCTGTAGATGCCCTCGAACACGTTCCTCTCCCCGTGGATCTTCCTGGCGTTGATCTCGTTGAAGAGCTGCATCATGACGAACACGTTGAACACGATGGTGTAGTGCTCGGACGGCGGCGAGTGCAGCGGAGTGTTGCGTCCGTTGTCGATGTCGAAAATCTTCTCGCCTGAGGAACAAACCGTGAAAATATGAATTCCCTCTAAAAAAAACAACAAGATTCCCATTCAGAAGAAACCGGTTCCTCACCGGCGAAGAGCAGCGTGAAGATGATGACCAGCTGGTACACGGCGTGGCCCAGGATGTTCTTCATCATGGTCCTGGAGATGAGCGGCTTGTTGCGGCCGTACGGCCGGCGCAGCAGGAGGGACTCGGTGGGCGGCTCGGTGGCCAGAGCGAGAGACGCCAGAGTGTCCATGATGAGGTTGACCCACAGCATCTGGACGGCCTTCAGGGGGGAGTCCTGCAGGAGGAGGTCAGGAGTTTAATGCACATTGTCATGAACACAGCGTTGGAGCACGGTTTTCTTCCTAAATTAAGACACATCTTCCCCTGTTAAAGGAAATATTCTCCTGAAAAGATCAGTTGAAGATAAAGGGCTGTCACATCCCGGCCGTTGTCATTTTCTTCTCCTCTTTTCTCACTTCACGTCTTTTCTGTCCTTTTAAAAACGCGGAGTCTTCAGCTCAGATTGAGACGGAATCAAGCGACATCACTTGAGGTAAGCGATGAGACCTCGCATATATCAAATATAAAAAAACAACAAAACATTTAAATTAAAATGTTTTTTCATATTATGAATAAAAAGTGCCTGTTCACTACATTTTATGTACCAACAATAAGAAGCAATTGCATCACAGTGTGTTGGACTGACTTAAATGCATATAAAAACATTTATTGGGAATGAAACCTACGCTTCTCAGACCGGCTTCTGTTCAACAAAGACACACATCCGTTTAGCGTCTTTAATGATCAGGGAGCATGAACACAGACACCACGGACCTGCTGAGCCTGGTGCATCGCAGGATTATGATGGTGACGTGTTGCCATGGTTTCAGGCTGTATCTTAGCCTACTTTGTGCTCGGGACTCTGTAGCCCAGTTAGTTATCTGTCCTGCCAGCTGTGAGCCTTTCAATTAATGCACAGCCGCGTGTAACTTTTTATTCTTGTGTCGGGAGTTTGGTCTCCTGATTAGAGGCGCAATATGAAACCAAAAAAGTGACAACGCTTCCTCGCCTCCACACATCGCTCCGACGGTCACATCAAAAAAAGCCTGAAAATGAATCGCCTTTTCTCGTTTCTGTGGAGATTTGAGCAAAAATAAATTCACAGAAGCCTCAAAGTGCAACGTGGCCATTGAGCTCATATTTTAGAATCCACAGACGAGGTGGAAATACAGATTCTCCACCAGCAGAGAGCACAGCTCACATTCAAACCGCAACATCAGCTGACTGGCAACAGGGACCTGACACATTTACACCTGCTGATACAAAAGCCTAAACTCTGTGGTGGAGAATTTGAATTCATATCTCAACTGTAGGAAGTCGGCCCAAGCTTCCTGTTTCCTTTAAAGCTTCCACATATGTATATTAAGTCCCCTGCACCCTGAGGAGTGTATTGTGGTGATTAGACCTGGAGAGTTGGATTAACCACCACTTCATCCACAGTAACATCGCTGATACAAAGATATTAACAGATTATCCATATTTTAATTATCATCGCAAACACAGAAATAACTTAAATCTAAGAAGGCACAATCCTTTCCTAGTTGGAAAATAAAAAACAAACTCCGCATTCAAATGCGGACCTTGGTATTGATGTATTGAATGACCTGAACGCTTTCACCATTACCACCATCACCCCGTGACCCCGTGACCCTGTGACCCCATGACCCACCTGCGTGATGCAGGCGCCGGTGAACGCCACGATCACGGCCACCACGTTGACGGTCAGCTGGAACTGCAGGAACTTGGAGATGCTGTCGTAGACGTTCCTCCCCCACATCACGGCCTTGACGATGCTGGTGAAGTTGTCGTCGGTCAGGATGATGTCGGACGCCTCCTTGGCCACGTCTGTGCCGGCGATTCCCTGGCGAGGAGAAGCAGATCAGGTCCCGGGTGTTAGTATCCGTGTGTCATGTTTCTAGTAACATGCATGGAAAAAATATATATTTATATTTACTCCAAAAGGGAGTTTTTTTCTGAATGGTTGAGCAACATTTTATTATTGGTTCGTAACGTTTAACTGATTTTCCTTTAAGGCTCCAGATAAGGCCTCTTGTGATTTGGGTCATGATGGTTTGTCTCTGTTCCAAATGTGGATTAATACACAGCTAAAAATATCCTCCTGTTTGACTTCAGTCACAGTGGTGCTTTCTTATGATGCTTTTAAAGTTGGAAGCAACGAGTCAATGAGTCGTCGACACGTGTGATGAGGGAGGAACGAGCGCTAAACAGACGGGGGGAGTCATCCTGGTTTGACTTTTACCCCCTCAGCTGTGACACCGAGCGGTTTCCTTTCAACAGAACGATGCAGCTGGAGTCTCGTGATGTTCCAATTATTCATTTTTTTGTCCTGGTGCTCAGCCGGTAGAAACAAAGCGCTGTCACTATTTGTGGATCGGATCAGGTTTCACCGTCTTTGTTTCTGTTTTTCCAAAATGAAAGCAGAAAGCTGCTGCTGGTTCCATGCGAAGCCCAGACCCTTCTCGTAGATAGGCGGGTCACATGTTAATATTTTAAGCACTATGCCAATGCTTTATGTTCTCGAACAGAGAAAGAAACCATAATGTGCAGAAATTAGTAGAAAGAAAAATACATTAAAGTGTGAAAAACACGCTGGAATGGCTTGAAAAAAGGGTTATCAGCTAAATTTAAATTAAATAAGATAAAACTCACTGATACTTTAATATTCAAAGGATTGAAATCAGGAATCAGGTGATCTGTGACCAGGATGAGAGACTGAGATTATTTAATATAAAGAACACATCAAGGACGGGATAATATAGGATCTTATCGAGAATCATGGTAAAAAGACAAGAAGTTAATTGTGGTGAATTTCATTTATCGGGATAATCGTGGATATCGTGATGTGAAAAAGTTCAATATCATCGTGTGTCGGACTCTTTGTTTCTTAACTACAGGTGAGGTAATGAGATTCCACGGACCTGATGAGCATCCAGGCTCAACACGTATTGATCTATTTTTCCATTTCACAGCTTTCTTAATGACTCCACGGCATTAAAACTCAAAGAGTCACTGAGGTTGACGCTCGGAGATAATAACCTCTTCATGGCTGCATTAGAAATGTAATTAACTCAACGGGTTTCTCTTTCTGGAGCGGCGGGAGACTGAAACAGTGAGAACTTGTGCGAAGACGACGTGGAAGCAGAGGAGGCTCGGTTACCATGGCGAAGCCGACGTCGGCCTTCTTGAGCGCCGGGCCGTCGTTGGTGCCGTCTCCCGTCACTGCCACCACCTGCCTGGTCTCCCCCACCAGGCTGTCGATGATACCTGATACCGACAGCAACAACAAACCAGCCACGTTAGCGCTCCGCCGCTGGTTAAAACGGCCTCGCGGCGCGCAAACAAAGGCGCGGCGAGCAGCGGAGCGCGCCGAGCGAGGGGCCCACCTTTCACCAGAGTGTGTTTGTCCGTCGGAGAGGAACGAGCCAGGACTCGCAGCTTGGGCCAGACCTTGTCCAGGCGCTCTTGTTCCACCTGCGGGATGCGACACGAGGGGAGCGGAGGAGCGGCGTTACGTACCGAATGCGGTGAAATCACGGTGAGGAAAGCGTGACCCCTCGGCTCACCTCTCCCTGGTCGTTCCTGATCTGCTGGTTGAACTCTTTGCCCTCCATGCACAGGAAGTCCTCTCCGGGCAGCAGGATGCCGCACTTGGTCGCGATGGCGCGGGCCGTGTTGATGTTGTCCCCGGTAACCATGCGCACGGTGATGCCGGCGCGCTGGCACTTGGAGATGGCCTCGGGTACCTGGAGGGGGGAGAGGAGCGGTCTGTGTGACATCGAAGCAGCCGGCGGCGTTTAACACCTCGGAGCATCCGCACACCTGGCGGCCGGCTCAGCGCACCGTGCACGTCGTTCCTTTATCTCCACACTGTCACGGACCGCCGAGTGTTTTCACCACAACATTTTCCCTTCAATGCAACAATGAGCAGCACAGCCAGATGAGTCGGGTTAAACTAGTGAGCTCCGTGTTCTCTTTGTTCCCCTCCAGATTATGCAGAACATTTCAAAGTCAACCCGAGCAGAAGAGGATCATCTAAACCGATTATCGGACATTAAATACACTCCGTGTTCGGAGTAAACCAAAAAGACACATTTCAATTGATGCAAGGAATATTCAGCCAGAGACAACGATTGAAGTCAAATCTGATTAAAATCTTATTTTTGAATGGTGACTCGCAGCGTGCAGGTGATGATCGGGTCTGTTGAACAAATCCCCCCAAACCAAGGAGGAGATAACAGTCGACGGGCGCCGCCCAGTAAAACTTCACACAATCTAAAATAAAGGCCGTGATTTTTTTAAAGAAATCTTGATACAGAAAAAGAAACATTTAGACAGAAAGAAATATATTTAAGAGCCCTCCTTCACTTCTCAAATGAGGCCACGAGGCGCCCACGTAGCTCCTCCCACATTTAAACCCTCTTCTTACTTTGACCTGACTGACCAAGTGAAAAGTGGGCGGGGTCACGCTTTCTCCGTACCTCGTGTCTCACGGGGTCCTCGATGCCGACCACCACGATGCAGGTGAGGTCGTTCAGGATGTCGTTCTCGCTCTCCCAGTTGGGCTCCCCGGCCTCGGCGGGGAAGTCCCTGTAGGCCACGCAGATGGTCCTCAGGCCGTCGCACGCCATCGGCTCGATCACCTTCTTCACCATCTCGTCACGGTCCTTGGGCTTGAAGTTGCGAGGCTGGCCCTGGGCGTCCAGGATGCTGGAGCATCTGGTGGAAGAGGAGGAGAAACGTCAGCCGCCCCTCCTCCCTCAGATCCGCACAGATCAATGATCAGATGATCGCTTTACTTTCTGAGGACGATCTCCGAGGCTCCTTTGCTGTACATGCGGTAACCTCCGTCGGCGTTCTTCAGCACCGTGCTCATGGACTTGCGGGCGGAGTTGAAGGTGTAAACCTTGTAGAGCTTCTCTTCTGGGATCTCTTCTCTGATTGGCTGGTAGTCCCTCTTCAGGTCCAGCACCAGGCCCAGCAGGGCGCACTCCGTCTTGTTCCCCACGTGGCGGGGCAGGCCGCCCTCCTTCTCCGGAGGCTGAGGAAGAGACGAGAGGTCTGAATGTGACGAGAGAACGCGCGGCGCTTCAATGGGCTCTGGGCGGCGAGGCGCTTCTCACCAGGATCTTGGTGGTGTAGGCCGAGTTGATGGCGATGCTGTTGACCATGACCTCCAGGGTCTCCGGTTTGATGGCGTCGGGTTCGGGGACGGTCCTGTAGTGCGTGTCGCCGACATAGGCCTGCACCACCGTCATGCGGTTCATGGTCAGCGTGCCCGTTTTGTCGGAGCAGATGGCCGTGGCGTTCCCCATCGTCTCGCAGGCGTCCAGGTGACGCACGAGGTTGTTGTCCTTCATCATTTTCTAGAGTAATGCAGAAGGCGGGAAGAGACACGACTTGGCATTAAAGGCGAGTTCAAAAATGAAACGGGTAGGACCGCGACGTCCGTAGATCTCCCGTTTCCCACAATCCCCCTTGCTCCCCATCGCGCTCACCTTGACCGAGTAGGCCAGAGAGATGGTGACGGCGAGCGGCAGCCCCTCTGGAACGGCCACCACCAGCACGGTCACGCCGATGATGAAGAACTTGACGAAGTACTGGATGTAGATGGGGGTGCACTCGGCCAGCCAGGAGCGACCCTGGATCCCGAAATTGTCGATCACGAAGAAGAGGATGAGGATGATGACGGTCACGGCCGACATGATCAGTCCTGGTGAGAAGGAGCAGCAATGAGCTTTTGCACTTTTGACACGTTGGTGGTTATTAAGGACGAGCCAATGGCCAAAAACTCCAAGGAAGCAAAGCAAGTAAAAAAGCATCAATTTTGAGTTTCACTGCTTTTTCGTTCTCTCTATGATTTATTTCTATTTACTATTAAGTATCAAATGAATGAGGAGCAAAATACACGTTTACAAGTTTGCACAAGGTTGCAGGCTTTCATGCTGGTGAACGGATTTATCCTTTAATGTTTCAAACTTTGAACTGTCTGCATGCGCGTAAAATCTGACGCAAGCAAAGGCAATAAAGTTCAACCTGCTATTTGAGTAGAACTATCAACAGAAACACAGTCCAATCTGCAGTATGGGAAGAACTATTGACAGATTGGGATGAGACTTTAAACCGGATGGTTGATTTGATCAGTAAGTAATCAACACGTATTGGTATGTTGTATCAGCTGAATAGAGCCTTTAGCTGTAATGTGACCCGTCTCCCTCACAAGCTCTAAGGCAGATTTTGAGTCCGTTCTGCGACCACATCACTAAGTCTGATGTGCATTCGTTCATGCTGCTGTGATGCTGTGATGGAAATGCTACTGGGGGATAAATCCCCTCATCACTTTTTATTACTGCCACTTTGAGTCTTCTAGATGCATAATTGTTGTCTGCGTGTGTGTTGCACTAAATGCGAGTGCCAAATACACATTTCCGCTTAATGCATATTTATCTCCTCTGGTGGAGCTCGGAGCCTCTGTGCAGAGACGTCATGTGAAACTGGTTGGCCGTGCGTGTGTGTGTGTGTGTGTGTGTGCGCTCCTCACCGGCCTTCCCGATCTGCACCGCCAGCTTGGTCAGTTTGCCCTGAAGCACCGACTTCTCCTTCTTCGTCACGTTGACCTTCTTCACCGGCTTGGCCTCCTCCTTCTCCTCCGACTCGGCGGCCTCCTCGCTCTTCAGCGGCTGGATCTCCAGGGCGATGCCGTCCTGGGTTTTGGCTGGGAGGGGGAGGGGGTTGATAAGGTGGTGGGTTCGGGTAAAAGGAGGAGGACCGGGAGGGAGGAGGAGAGGTCAGGGAAAGGTTTGTGATGAAGAAGAGGCGAGGATGAAGGAGGGGGGACGGTGATGCAATATCACGGAAGAGGCAGATGAGTGTATTTAAACAAATCAAAGGTGAAGAAGGAAAGTTTTCAGCATGATCGGGAGCAGAGGACGAGGGAAGGAAGGCGGGACCGGGTGACAAAATGAAGGAAATCAATAAATGATAATAAATCACAGAGAGAAGGAGGGAGCAGGAGTGGTTCGGGGGTGAAGGGCAGAGAGGCAGAGAAAACGTTACAGGTTCAGAAAGATGAAAAGGACCAGACGATTTCAGGAGAGACTTAAACTTTAACATCTGGATCAACACGGTGAGCCTTTGTCTGTCTCAACAATGCGTGATCACAGGTCATGGAGGACGGTCCAGCTTTCAGAGAGACGAGTTCGTATGAAGGAGCAGCGGACAGAACGGAGGACAGCAGATACAACAGAGAGGATTTAACCAGGGGGGGGGGGGTTGGTCTCACATACACACACACACACACACACACACACACTGTGTTTTATCAGATTTTGGAACGAGGCCGTGTTGTGAAGTCTTTGCTGCTCATTTGCATAAGCAAACTGCGGGTCCCGTCTGGATCGGCGTGCGGACCCTCCTCCGCCCAATGCAGCTGCCCCCCCGAAAGACACCTCACTTCTTTACTGAAGCCTGTTTGTTTAATTCATGCGCAGGCGGACAGAAGTGTAAGAGGCTTATTGTGTTGTTTTGTGTGCCGTGTGGGAACCGTGTGAAGCATCAATGGTATTAGGCTGATATTTATTTTATGTAGATGGGTTTTTATTCCTCTAATAAAGTGTTAAGGGGTTTGGACTAAAGGGCTGATGCAGACGTGAGAAGCTACGCTGAGTGTTTTAATCCCTTTAATTCCTATTTGTGTGCGTCTTTCACCGTGTCGTCCTATATTGGCTTGTGTTTCTTTCACCTGAGAAAAAGAGAAAACCTGAACATCAATGGCATCCTAAAAGTCCACTTAAAGTGGCCACTGAGTGTCTGTCCTTGTTTTTAACGAGATGAAATAACGTTAAAGCATCTTGACTGGCTCATTAGAAGTGGCGATATTGTTCAAGTGCTTTTGTCTGCTGGTTTATGGCTTGATTTGGTTTGGTTTTTGACTCTCGAGGCAGATTTGCACGGATACAGCAGAGCAGATCGCCTCGCGAAGCACCGATTAGGCTAATGACCAAATCTCAGAGGTGCACCTCGTCGTGAGCAGGTGGTACCCGTCAGGTGAAAACCACGGAAGGATCGGCAAGTGTCTTTGCATCAGGCTCAACGTCTAACTAAAGAAATCTGCTTCGGTGGCCGACGTGTTTTGCTGAAAACATCGACGGGTCGTATATGGGAGCTTGAGAAAAGCGAGGAGCTTCAACATGACGTGAGGTGTGTTTTTTTTGGACACCTCTATCCCGAAAGTCCATCCCTGTAGCGGCCGCTGGCTCACCCAGCTTCATCAGACGTTTCCTTTATTTGCTAAAAAAGGGAAGGTCCCTTCACGACAGCAAGACCGCGACGAGACATTTAGACACTCTGAATGTGCGGATGAGTCAAACCAGGAAGCTGTGGAGCTTTATGCACATGGTCCACTCTGAAAACAAGCCACAACACAGAACCAGCTGACACCGCTTCACACCAACAGGACTGAGACCCACGGACCAACCACAGGACTGTAAACAGGCGCAGCACGGAACCATGGGAGAGCGCACGGCGGGCAGAGGGTGTGGGGGGGACGGGGTGGGGGGAAATAAAACGTAAAGAACCACAGCGATGCAGAACCACGACAGAGAGAGAGACAGGTGGAGGTGGTGGAGGTGGAGGAGGAGGCTGTGGAAGCTGCAGGAGACGTGGAAACGACAGAGGAGGAGTGGGGCGGGGGGACGACAGCATGAAGTCCTGAGCAACGCCCTGCGAGGAGGCAACCGTTAGAGAGGCTGAGGGGGGTTAGAAGGCCACACAGGAGAGGGAACAGCCCACTGGTGCTGCAAGGGTGCAACTCCCACTCTCCTCAGCCCGGGACCCCCAGCGCACCCGCTGGACCGGGCGGGTCTTTATCAACAGTGTCAACAGGCAGTTTGGGGAGGGGGGTCCACTTAACTGGGACATAATGAGGCCTTTCTTTTTTTTTTTACCTCCTCCTGCATAGATGTTTCAAATTAAAAGCCTCCAGCAGCTCAAAAGGACAAATACCACCTTCAGTAGGCTTTTAGTGTGAAACATCTGCAGGAAGTTTCATTATTGCTAATTCAAAACTAATTGGGGAAAAAAAAGAAGAGAAAAAAGCCACATAGAAGTGAATGAAAACAGAATTTGGGGGAGCAGCCGAGCGGTGAAGCGACGTGACTCGTACTCGTACTGAGCGATTGGATTTAAAGAAGCTTCCCTGTTTTCTTATTTGCTCTTCTTTCATTTGTTGTTCATTCAAACACAAAAGCAGTAATTTCACCACTCAGCTGCTCTCATTATTCTCATCACTGATATGGTTTATATATACAGTTATTTTGTCCAGTTGCTTCTACTTTGCTCTTGTGTTATTCCCTGCACACGTGTGTCCCTTTTAAAGCTTTTCACGAGCTCAAAGGGAATTTTTTCCCCCCAAACGTTTAGTTGACTTGTCAACCGCATGAACAGAAAATAAACTGGCAGCCATTTCGATAAATGATTAATTGTTGAAATCACATTCCAAGCTTGTGCCAGCTTATGTTTCATCCGTCTCATTCGATAACAAACACCATATCTGCTGGTTTTGGTTTGTTGGATTTGAGATTGTTAGACTTTAGCAAAGTGCGATGAAATTAATCCCAAAGGGAAGGCTTCATTTCTCCGAGTAAGCTTTTACAGTGAAGCATCTGCAGGAAGTGAGAGCAACTTGAGTGATACAAAACGCAGCAAAGTAGAAGGGGGGGAGGAGGAGGTGTGGGGGGGGGGGCGGTCATTCACAGTTTTTAGGCCATTGGGGGGCAGAATAACTGACAGAAACATAAATCTGACACAATAAATAAATAAATGGTGAAAACAATCGTCCAGAGGCATCGATAATCAGTGAAGCTGAGTAAAGAGCGTTGAGGTACAGATTCTTCTGCTCCGCTGCAACATCCTGACTGCTTCAGTTACAAACCCAGATTATAGATGTTAATCCACTTTCCCTATTATAATAATGTCTCCAGATGTGGTGATTTTGAATTGAATTCAATTAGGTGTTAATTTATGAGTCGATAAGAAGATCCTACCTCTCTGGCTACATAAACTAAAACAAATGATCTTATGGAATATGATGCATCGCTGTACATCAACCTACGAACGGAATATAAAACGATAGCACAACAAAATAAATATCACATTAATGCAGCAGTGATTGTAATCCAGAAATCCATAAAAAAGCAATAAAATGCTTTGATTAAAATTTCACTCTGCACCGAACATGAGTTGATGTCTCCCCCCTTTTCCCCCCTTCGCCCCGCTGCTCAGAGTCCTGCACAAACGCTGGTCCTGACTTCACGCTCAAGAAGCTTTGCTTGTAATGTTCTATTGCGGGAGGAGGCACTTTACGCTTTAATGAAAAGGACCTGAGCACCTCTTCCACGACGGAGCGCTACGACGTGGTCGATCGGACTGACGGCGTTTTGGGGTTTTTTGTTCTTCGAATTATTTCCGTGTGTAAAAGTGTGATGACCGACCAAGAGCGAGGAGTGTGTGTTTCTGTGTACATCAAGAAGCCTTCTGTCCACAGCAGATGCTCAAACCACAGGAGGTCGAGAGCAGGGGAGCTGTGTGTGTGTGTGTGTGTGTGTGTGTGTGTGCGCGTGTGCGTGTGCAGACAGCTTGCAGAGGAAGTTGGACATGTGTTGGATCACACGGGACATTGAGGACGGATGGCTGGTCGAGTTTGGAGGTTGCAGCGATGTCGTTATTGACACACAGCAGTCAAATGCCTTGATTGTATGAAGTCTGGGGGAAGCACAGAGGGAGCGCTTGATTTCCACGAGGCGTCGCGCGTTGAACCTTAGAGGTCACTCGCTGTGAGATAACGGATGGAGCAGCGTTTGTGTGTCCGTTCTCAGGCATTTGTTTTTATAAAAGAACATCAGTTATAATTTGTGGAGAAATAATTCTCAAAAAATAATTCTTATGCCGTTAGCTAGCTAGCTGGCTAATAAGCCAGTTAATAATTTAGCTAGCTGGCTAACATTGCCAAAGAGAAGGCTTTATTTTCGGTAAAGTAGTTAGTCATACCTTTAGTATGACGGATATTAGGTGTGACGCTTCATACAAATAGATGACATCCATTTTTTCAATATAGCACAGAAAAATAAAGATATAATAATAGATAATAATTTCTCCCTCAGATACATTTAAAATTCAGAGGAAAAGTTAAGTTAATCATTCGTGTAACTCCATCAACGATTTTAATTATCTGGAAGCTTCGCTGGCAATGAAAACAAGTTAGTTCAATTAGTGGTGCAAATCACTTCTATTAGTTGATGTTGTGCAGCAGCATGAAAAATATTAAACGTGTGCACTTACTGAGCAGAACATACATTTGAGTTCTCTGAAATTAAATCAGTCTCAGATCATTTCTCCACAAAATACAAATAATGTGGTTTTAAAAAGTCTCTTTTGTACAAAACGCTCTCAGAATTGACGGCACAAACACGACCCGCTTATCGCCCCTGGGACAGTTACCATGACAACTGTGAACGCTGTGATTGGCTGTGGGAGACTTGAAGGTTGGGAGTTGCACCCTATGACAGGTAAAGCAAGATGAGAGAACGTCCCCCTTTAGAGAGAGAGAGGGAGAGAGAGAGAGACGGACCGGACACTCCCCTCCTGCCGCTGAGTGGAGGATGAGGAGGAGGTGAGTGACAGGGAGGATGGAGGGACAGAGAGGGACGGATGGATGAATGGAGGGGTTACCTTTGTTGCGATTTTCGGGGGGTCCTTGTTTTTTACCTGTTCGGACAGAGAGAGGGCGGAATGCTGATAAGATGACTCAAAAGAAAAATAAGATCAAATCAAACTGAGGGAGAACACAAATTCAACTGATAGAAACCCACAGGTGTGTGTGTGTGTGTGTGTGCGCGTGTGTGTGCGCTGTGGGCAGGAATGGACCAATCAGAGGAGAGAGACACGCCACTTCCTGCCGCGGAGGACCGACGGCAGAGCCAATCAATTCATCAATATATCAGTGATCAAAATAAATAGGAATTTGATTCAGATATTTGATGAATGTTAAAGAATGACACATGAAACATTTACTCATAATTGGTTTGATTGAACACAATATTTTGTGTACATGTACACACTATCTCATTGTTTATTTAGTTTAACGCAGTTGTTTGTGTTGTACAATCATCAGTATTGATCCATGTAACTCATCTTTATGCAAGTTACTCCCGCTTCTGCTTCCTGTTAGACGCTTAAGCTTATTGTTGCAGCACAACAATAAAAACATGTGACTCTTGAATGTGTTGGAGCAGACGTTCATGGTGCCCAGAGGATTACTCCCCCGATCATTTTGACTTGTTCAATACTTAATCAATACTGGATCAACGAGAGATCCTGGGGCCCTAATAGGGAGCTCTATGCTTTTATTGTGAAAGGAAGTTTGGCAAGGTCAAAGCCAACACTCACACACACACTCACACAGACACACACAAAGGTGTTTGATATTCAGTTGGTGCTTTATGATTGATTACTGAACTGCTGCGTGTGTTTGACCCGACACACACACACACATCTGTAAGATACACAGAGGGAGTGACTTTGAACACGTGTGTGTGTGTGTGTGTGTGTGTGTGTGTACTCCTGTGTGTGAGGTGGGTTGACGCAGCCTTGTGTGACGGTAGCGAGTGCCGTCCGTCTGCTGTTGGCGGAGACTCGAGAGACACACGACGGTGTCGCTCTTTGTGAGGACTCATTAAAGCTTCACAAGTGAGGAAATATTTTTGAAAAAGAGGAATGATTTGTGATCACGGTGGGACTCGGGGGGGTCGTGAAGCTATCGTCTCATGCCACATGTGTGAGATTCTCTCTCCTTCTGCTCATTGTCGGTCTAGTTGGAGAGGAATGTGGAAACGCGTCCTGTGGTGGTCCTCGCGAGGAGTTCCGCACCGGTTGGGTTTTCAAAGTGAGCGTTCCAGAGGAGCGAACCCCGTGTCTCTCTCCGCTGAGCTGGTACATTCGGCCGGAATCGACAATGGATGCCTGACGAACGCAAACTTTAGCCAGTAAAACAGATGAGCAGACAAAAACAAAATAAAGAAAAGAAGACACGAGTAAAAGGGCGTTAGCGTGATCACAAGCAAATCAAAGGTAATCGAGGCGGAAGCCTGTTGGTTTGCATCCTCCTGCTCTGTGACAGTACGAGGGGAAGGTACGCTCGATACCTCCGTACACCACCGTGAATAAATGAGACCAGGACGCAGTCTTTATTCATTTTTGTAATTAATCTTCGAGGACTGTGTGGAGACACACTGAAGTCAGAATGGACTATCGATTCCCTGACTTCAGACAGAAGAAAAAGACCGGTGAGTGAAACAACAAAACCGCTGTGAGATTCCATCGGCTAGCTCGCTAGCGCTCGTTAGCTCCCCTGGCCGACTTGAAGACTCTCATTTCAGTCGGCCTTTGCTTCTCTTAAATCTTCCAACTTCTTTAAATAGAACAATCATGTCAGGTAGTAAAGCACGCTAACTCTTTGGATGCCGACTATCTCACGTGCCACAACCCCACTCACACCCCTCCAACGCGGGGAGGAAGCCAAACTGCCGAGCCGCAAGTGGACACTCCCACTTTAGTGGGAGGGGCTTAGTGAACGGCCAGTTAAAAAGGGGCCGTTGAATCAGTCCGTTCAACTCATCCGTGGTCTCATTTATTCACTTCGCTGATCTGCTGAAGCTCAATGATGCCAACCCACGGTGAGACCCCGTCTCACCGGGCGGACTGGAAGAGCTCTGCCCGTTGACAGAGTCGGCGAGAATCAACACCAGCTGATACATAAATAAAAAAAACGTGCAAATATTTCCAATCTGCGCTGTTCAAACAGTAGAGTAGAAATATTCAGAAGCTGACACGATGACAGTTGTCTCTCTTTGCTCCACACACTTCACACACACACAGTGTCCTCGCGGGACACTTCAAGGCCTCGGCGGCTGGGCTTCGTCTCGCGTCTTACTTTTCTTGACCTTCTTCTCTTCGTCGTGGTCGCCGGCGCCCAGCAGAGTGAAGATGATGCCGGTTTGAGAGTTGAGGCCGACGGCCGACACCACCATCCTGCCGGAGCCCTCCATCACGTGGGTCCCTGAGGGAGGAGTCAACAGACGGAGGTCACGACTGGGCCATCTTTTGTTTTTTTACCTTCCGGGGGATCGGCTTTTCTGTACTTTACAAAGAACCTCGCCCATATCAGCGTTTCCCTTGGAAAAGTGTGCAATTTCGCCAAACTGTTGTTATTTTTCCCGGGAAGGCAGCTGACCCCTTTGCTAAGTCCCTCTAATACCCCCCCTTAAGTTGTAAACGTAAGGGAAACACTGCATATTATGCAGAGTTAGATTGGTTGTGAGTTCTGAGGCTCGGAGAGCAGGTTTCAACAGCTTAAAGATTCCAAACAAACTTTGAATAAAGGGGAGTTGCGTCTAGAATAAAAAGTCCCATCCAATGTCTGAACGTCGCACTAATCCCACAGATCAGCACTAAGACTGTTCGTAGAGGCCACGTTATGGAGGAGCAAACACAAGCTCCCAAAACCCCCAACACGTACGTGAGCTCGACGACATTAATCTGAGATTTAATTGTTTCCCCCAACATGACACGCAGAAGTCAAAGGGTCGCGTTTGTTTAAGTGGATCATCGGCTCACCGGACAGCAGCATGGGGTCCTTCTCCAGGGACTTTCGGACTTGGTCGGACTCCCCGGTGAGGGAGCTCTCGTCGATCTTCAGGTCGTTGCCTTGGATCAGGATCCCGTCGGCGGGCAGCAGGTCTCCTGCAGTCACAGAGGTCACGCATAGACACAGAGGTTTGAACGTATTACGTATTTCTAACAGCGCTGTGCCTCTACTTTAGTGCGCGTCGGGTCTGGGTTTGTCTCTTCTGGTCTAAATGCTAAGCGCTAACTGCTACCGACCGCTCGGACACGCTGATGACAGGGGCCACCATGCAAGGTGACACCTGCCCATCAGCGCTCTACGGGAGAAGAGTCCCCTCGGGGGGGGAAGTGGACTTGAGCTCAGCTCCAATGGAGAGAAAACGATGTGCCTCCGGCTTTGGGGAAGGTCGTTTGCTTTAAAAAGGCCAATCTAGGTTCATTGAGGAATGGTTTGTCAGTATGAACTACCTAAAACTCACAACAATAATAGCAATAAAAGCGACATTTAACAGGCGTAAAATGACCATCCAGTGATTGACACCCGGTGTCTCAGCCTGGGGTCCGGGCTGTCGTACCGTATTTGATCTGGGCGATGTCTCCCACCACCATCTCGGCCACGGGGATCTGGATCACTTGGCCTTTGCGGATGACGGTGAACTTCTGCTCCTGCTCGATGCGACTCTGCAGCCCGCGGAACTGCTTCTCCTTGGACCAGTCGTTGAAGGCAGTCACCAGGACGACGATGATGACCGAGAACAGGATGGCGGCGCCCTCGATCCAACCGGCCTGGGACTCGCCCTCGTCCTCCACGCCTCCTGCGACCTCGCCGCATGCTATTAGAGTACAAACAGGTCACCCCCAGGTTACTTAAACCTGAACATTGACCCGCACAGACACAACGTGACGGCCTCTCTGGGTTTGGACTGCGCCCACCTTCACTGTCGCCCCCTGGTGGATGGTAGAAGGACAGGCCCAGCGAGATGATGGCGGCGATTTCCAGGATGATGAGCGTGACGTCCTGCAGAGCCTCCCACACCAGCTGCAGGAAGGTCTTGGCCTTCTTGGGGGGGATGAAGTTCTGGCCGTACGAGGCGTGGCGTTTCTCCAAATCCACGGGGTTACCGGACAGACCTGCGGACGCCAAAGTAAACGCACGTAAATAACCACGTCGACGCGGAAGATAACCAGTCTGTGTCTCTGCTTTGTAGACAAAAAAGTAGAAAAGAGCATTTAGCAAAAGGTCACAGGTACAAAAGCACAGAGACCTACAGGTAAAAGGATGAAAGCTACTGTACACTGGACATATTACTCTATTATAGCTGTATTAACTACTCCAAGAAGATAATACAATAAAGGAAGAAATGACCGGCTCAAACCTAATGATTGGAAAACTACAACCACTGGATTCCTCTGCTTATTAACGTTTACAATATCTGATCACAATCACTAGCGGTTCAAACTGAATCGAGTAAGTGTGATTAGCTCCCTGCACCAACAGGCCGTGGATGCAGATTTGACTGAGTTCCATAAACAGTAGTTTTGCAACATGACCTACTTTTGTTGCCATGAAAAAGACTGCAGTATTTCCATATGCAGTATTTATTTGGGAAAATCTCCAACAGAGGTTTTTTCCACCCAAAGAAATGATGCATTTGCTTATTCACTATTTGCTCCTTTCTGTCCCAGTGGTTCCCTGTTGAAGCTCCGACTCGCCTCAACTTGTGACCAGTTAGACGAGGTCGTGTGAAGCTTAATTCACAAGGAATAAAATAACCAGAAACTATAAATATTCATCTTTGTTCTGGTTCCAGTTTGTGCCAATTATCTTTCAGGTTTGTCTTAAGCACAATTTAAAATATATACATAAATCGATAGTAAACAAATAAATACAATAAAATTGATTAATGAGTACACAATAATTGAAAGCAATACAAGTGTAATGTTTAAATAAACATATTAAATGGAGTATTTGCAACTGTATTCTTGTCTACAATTAAAACAATTAATGATTTAAAGGTTGGCCTGTAGTTTCTCTTCCTGTCCCTCTGCAGACGTCTTTTACCAGCAGCCGCTCTCTGAAGACCAAACAATGTCTGTGAGTTATTGATTCCAGAGCTGTGACTGTCATTTTCCAGCAGTGACTCACGTCCGTCTGCTGCTTCAGTCTCCACATACAGACGAGAGAAAGCCGCATCTCGTCTTTCATCAAAACCAGATATGATCCCAAACAATTTTCAGTTTGTTTATTATCAGCGATAAAAAAGAGCGGTCAGGTCGCGTCGGCTCTGACTTAACGGCGGATTTTCCCGTTAACGTTAAACTCGCAGCAGCTCGTGGGAGCCCAACGACGTGTCTGCAGGAGAACCGCCACTGATCCCTCAATAAATCCGGGCCTTTTGTCAGTGAAACCTGAACCTCCGCCGGCCCCTCCGACCGGCTGCGTGGGCGGCAACATGGCCGCCGTGGCTCCTCGCTGGAAGTGGGAGATGTGCAGCGGAACGTGCTCTGAATGTCAACAGGCCGCACAGGTCTCTGGTGAACATGTCTCTGCCTTCATGAAGGCCTCTCGTTCCTTCCTCCTGCCACGATTCTCGCCTGCTCTTCATCAATAACCGCTCACGTTTCTTTTTGGAAGCAGCAATTCGGTGAATGTTCGAGATAAGAGCTTTGGCCATTTTGAGCATCGAGCTCGCACAGAGGTAGATGTTTCCTCGTCGCCTTAAAGACAAAGAGACGAGAGGGACGACGCGCGATGAGAGAAGCGATGTGAAAGGACACGAGGTCCGACCAGATGAGAAGACACGATGAGAGGAGGAGATGTGACGGACGAAATGAGACGGGATGTGACCTGAGGTAAGGGGAACACGAGGGACATTAAACGAGATCACGTGAGCAAGTTTGAGGCGAGATCACATTTCAGTGAGTTAAAACGAGACCGGGGAGGGGATGTGAGATGAGAGGATGAGGCAAAAAAAAGAGGAGAGGGGACATGATGAGGGGAGATGAAGGCCTTCGGGGGTGAACATGAGAACAGACGAGGTGAGGGGTGAGGGGGCGAATGATACTTTTTATTATGTGGTAATTGAGATAAGAAGAGATGAGGAAAGACGAGATAGCGAGAAAGAGAAGAGCTTATTGAGCTCACACTGAGGGAAGCGAGCGAGCGGAGAGGAAGGGATGACAGGACGTGAGACGAGGACGGATGAAAGGAGGTGAGATGAAGATAATTAAACAAGAGGGAGCCATCTGCGGGGACATCGAATTGGATACGAGACATGTAAATAAAACGTATTTACAGAGAACCTGAACAAACTTTACTGAATTAAGGCTTCAGAGGAGAAACCTGACGAGCACAAACAGGGATTTTTATAAATACACCGGTTGTCATCATCAGCCATCCTTCATCGCGGCTCGTGGCTCAGTTGAAAGTCCGGTTTGATCATTTTGGAGCCTGCGATTGATGCCGAAAGCTCCCGTCAGACTGGAAGACAGCGGCGGAGACGCAGATTAAAGCGTCACAGATGTTTATGAAACGCAGTCCAAAACCAGCTTCATCTTCAACCGCCCGAAGCTCTCCCTTACATTCACGCTCCCCTGACCGACGGCCCTTTGGTCACAAAGGCAACATTTTCTCAACACAATGTGACAATGTCGCTCAAAAAGCTCAGTCTTCTTGTCATTATCTGCTATACATATCTGAATAAGCTTGTATCTGTGGATCAATATTGTGGACAGAATATACGCCAATGTTTTGATGTCTTAGGGGACAATGAATACACAAGAGTGGTATGTAACTTGTATGCAATGGCATAGAAGGTGAATTAAGAAGCTATCACACCTCAGTAAGTTAATTAACACAATGTTATCTTGATTATTACAAATATTTGGATCAAAAAGATTACTTTGACTAATACTTCATCCATCCTTAATACAACAAAAAGGGGGAATTATGAGGAACAAATGGCCATTATCTTGAAAAATGGCAGCCATATTGAATTTGTAATGGCACCATTGAATTTCTCATTGAGTCAAAATACATTTTGATCTCTATATCTACAAAATATGTCGAGCCATTGAATTCTAAACTGAAACACCTTTATTCCCTTTTTTCGGCGATGGGTATCTTGAAAAATATCCGCCATCTTGGAATTTATTTATGTACTCACACACACCTTCTGGCCTTCAAGCATCTCGGCCTCAAACAAAGATCCCTAGTGAATCAACAAAACCTACAGCTGTATTGGAGGTATTTCCAAAATCCCCAAAGACTCTTTTCACCATCTGGAAACACAAATATTCTGTCCTCTGGCCCATAAGAAATATTTATTCCCAGCTGCAACTGTGTTTCCTCTCCATGTAGCAAGATATCACATCCACGCTAAATGTAAAAAGGAGCCATGTGTAAGGTAAGAACGGCTGTGAAGTAAACAGATGGAAACACATGAGCTCCGGTCCTCAAGTCCATCAAAGGCTTGGAGACATTTTAAAGGAAATTCAACTAACCACTTTTTCCCTGGATTATGAAAATAATTCTGTGTTGGCTGTCGGATTATTACAGCGAGTCAGACTGTTGTATTAACTGTGACATGAGAGAATAAATCGACACTGCGGTCGACATGCAGACATCGATAGGACGCATCTTTTTTCTAATAAAACAGACTCGCTGTAGGACAAATGGAACCCAGAGTCTGAGCTGAGGGACTTTCTGGTGAACCTGCAGGCCATAAATCATCGCATCTTTCCGACAAGCAGTAAGAATAACTAATAAAGAAAGAAGGCAATATTCCCCCGGGAGGTGTAGTGACTCATGAAGGTCACGTAGAAGCATCCGTATCTTATCTATCCGAGACTGTCAATCAGTGTTAAAGTTCCTTGTTGTAACTTTAGAAACCGTAATAACACTGAAATGCGGTGTGGATTTTATAGGAAGCAACAGGAAGATGGATAAAGGAACATCTGTGTCACGGATTCATTTACAGGCCGACAGCGGGTGGAGAATGATGGCGGTCGCTCCATCTTCAGTATCACATCTCACATCCTCTCCTGCAGAATGACGCGACAACCGAGCTTCATAAATCCTTCGGCGAACAAAACCGAATCCGTTTACACGACAACATTTCCATATATTTTAGATCTGTGTGTTTCTCGGGCTCTGTGATTGACTGGCGTATCCCGCCGCTCGCCCCGATGTCCGCTGGGATTGGCCCTCACGCAGAAGTGGGTCTAATGGATGAGTGGATTTATTCACTCATTTCAGGTTTCTGGAGGAGAGCGTTCAGCGTTAACGTCTCTTATTAGTTCCCTGGAGATGCAGACGTGAAGATCGTCGCATGTCTTGGTGTCGTTCTCCCTCGCTCTACTTGAACTGGCAAAGGCCTGGATGACCTGAGGCTGGGCGCGTGTGCGTGTGCGTGTGTGTGTGTGTGTGTCGGGTCACGCAGCTCAAGCTAAATCCCAGATATTTATATTGGCTTCTCGCACCACGGAGCTCGAAGGGATCCGACGCGCCAGCAGGCCGAGAAACCTCTGAACCTACTTACAGAACTACTGTGTGTGTGTGTGTGTGTGTGATGATTTGCTCCTGTGCATTTCTTGGTTGCTTTGCTTAAAGGACATTAAGAGTCTTAATTAGCTAGAACATCACTTTATTATTTTGTGTAGTGTTGTTAGCAGAGTGTGACAGCGTCGTCTTCACTGTCCGTTATCGTTGCACCGCTGAATGATCGCACTTGTTAACGGCTCTTGTGTTGTTGCATTTGGTCCTCTTAATTAATCCATTAATCACCCCGAAAAGACCTTTCTACAACGCAGGAGCAACGCAGCGGGAACGTGTGATGCTGGTGCGAGCGCTAATGCTAGCGGTAGATGGAGATGATGTTCTCTGTCGTCTCTTCTCAAAGAGTATGTCCTAATAATAACAACAATATGCTCAATGCATCTGCAGAGACCCGCTCCTTTATTGGTGGGGGTACCGGTGAGTCGTGGTCTCTTTGCCACCCAGGTGTTGTTTAAACAAAGTTTACGGTGTGCAGGCTGCTTGTCCTCTCAACATAGAACACAGATATGATGAAACGATGAGGAGGACGATCAATGACCTCCACAAAGGCAGTAGACTGATTCATCAATACGCGTTAACCAGCAGGGGGGGCAGCAGCAGCTGAGCCTTGTGTGTGTGTGTGTGTGTGTGTGCGCGTTGGTCAGGGGGAACAATACCAGTCAGCCTGGCTTCCGATCAGTGGCTGATTCTACGGACTGAAAACAAAAGCAGCTGAAGAAGAGACGGCTCGTTATCACAGCAAAGCGCCGAGACACAAAAAGCAGCCAAATGGACCTGTGAGGAGAAGCTAACCGCTAACGTAGCGCTTCTGGTGAAAGGTGAGGATCAGATGAAGGGGGAAAAGATTGAGACTCATGTCCAGTATCACTATAGTTACCTGTGTGCGTGTGTGCGTGTGTGTGAGTGTGTGTGTGTAGGTCTGGCCTAAACCTTACATTCAGGTCCCTCCCCTCCGCCATGCTGTAAGAATATAATTAGAGTTTCTTCATTAAAGTGAGTAATTTCTTGCGTGGACTACAGCTGTCCTCTGATTACTAAATGGAACAGAGCAATGATCTATGGAGCCATTAGGGGGACGGGGTGGAACTAATTCCAATCCTAGAATGGGCCTATGCCTGCAAACACACACACACACACACACACACACACACACACACACACACACACACACATAATGAAGGGGGGGATTTAACAAACAGCGGCATTTCGGCCATTTGCCGTTGTCACATGAAGCTCTGATGGAAAAGCAAACTGATCATCCATGCACACAGAGTACGGAGTGTGTGTCTGTTTGTGCCATTGTGTGTGTTTAACGACGCACACACAATCACCTCCTGATATGCGTGTGCGTGTTTCTGCATATTCATCACTACTACTGTTCGGCACTGAGCTACATTCTACTCCACTTCTTTTTACTCTGCAGATTCATATTACAAACATACTAAATCAAATATCTATAACAGGTAAGATTTGATCCGCGGGGGGATTTAGAAGTAAACTCACAAACTACACCGCAGTTCATTGATTAACAAGAAAAAGTGATGTGATGTGCAGATGAATGGAGACAGAAGACTCGGTGCCTGCAGGTTTGATCTACTCGAGGCTGGATCACATTAATAAACACAATAAAACCTGCACGTGCTGGTACGCAGGATGAATGTACAAATAAAGGATCAATTCATACCAATTGAAAAGAGTAACAATTAGGCCTTAATATAATATATCGTGGGAGCTTTAATATCCAAACATGTGAACCTTTGAGTGTTTTTGGTGCGGCTCACCTTCTATGGGCGACGTCTTCAGGCGCCGGCAGATGCCCTGCACGTCTCCGTGCGCTTCCTGTATCTTGCTGACGGCCTCAGCGCTCCGCAGCTCCATCAGCTCCCTCAGCTCCATCACGGTCACCCCGAAGTCCCCGTCATGGTTGCCCTCTGCGACCGAATTCCCCGCAGGGTGGTCCGCCGTGTTGTTGGCCATGTTGGTCCTCTTCACGGCGGGGTCCTCGTTGCTGTTTGTCAAGTTCTTATTTCCCCTCAGTGGTCCTTGTCTATTTTATTCTAAGCGTTAGACCGGCGCTCAGCTCACAGGAACTGTGGGTAGCGTGGTTGACTCCTGACCCGGACGTGCGTGCTCCGCTGGGGTTACCATGGAAACAGGCGAGTAAACATGTTGTGGTCACTGCGGAGGAAACAGAAACAAGAAAAGAGGCTTTTTACAGAGCAGATCCAGACAGGAAACGGTCCGAGCGTCATCGCCAAACTGATGAGTTTAAGACTCTGATTCTCACTAATTGATAGCAGGGAGACTAATTGGGCCAATTAGAGGTGAGTTTTTCCTCTCCGAGTCCCCTGAATCACCGAGGCCGTTAGGATGTAAACGGATTAACGGTTTGGGCTTCTCCTCCGAGACGCGTGTTTGGCTGGTAAAGATCTGCTGCTGTCTGTGAACGTCTGCTCGGAGACTACGAAGAGAAACGCATTCCCTTCTTCACAACGTGTGAATCACCGGAAAAAGAAGACCGCCGAACGCCAGAAGCCTGCATTTCCATGCGCATTGAGAGTAACAACTTTAACAAAGGCAACAAAAGAGCTGTGAAAATAAGAAAAGAATGAAGGAAAAACTCCATCTCTTTGATTGCGAGGTGGAAATAATTACATGTGTGCTAAAGTTACCCGAGCACCCCTAGAATAAATAAATGTATCCAGCTTTAAAGTCATGGAAATCAGGTCAGCAGTTTAACCGTCGCCCTCCTGACAAAAGAACCCGAAATCAGATAACGGGAAGGAATCAGGAGGAGAACAATAACGGAGACAAAAGGTGTGAGCCAATCAGCATCGAGCACAGGACGACTGAGGTTTGAATTCCACAGGGTCAGTGTGTGTGTGTGTGTGTGTGTGTGGCACTCCAGCCCATCACCGCATATTATGTAAGTGCACTTCAAAGGCTGTGCCCCATTCTTCAGTGTTGCTCCATCACGCACGCACACGCGCGCACACACACACACACACACACACACACACGCAGCCTGTTGGAGTGCAGTCGGGGCTGCAGTCACGGTTTGTGGGGCTGATGACACGGGGTCAGTGGTTCTCAAATTGGGGGCAAACGCTGAGTGATCCCCGAGAGAGAAGAGTAGAAAACATGAAATATGAAACACGGACGCTTTTTCCTTAAAGCGGTTACACTACTTGTTTTTTTCCTCTTTTCTTTTTAGACGACGTGACACGATATTTAAAGAAAGAGCCGAAGGCTGCTTCTATAATATGTGGAGCGACGTGATGAAAAGGAGATAGTTGCTGATGTCATTATGATGGAGGGGGCTAATTAGAGACAAAGGGATTGTTTGATTTCGCCGGCGCTACGAAGAAGTGAGTGAAGGAGTATTTCATTAAAACAGAGCAAATAGGAGCATAATTCTACATGAGCGACTGGTGTTCCAGCTTATGATTAACGGAGGTAATGACAGTATCGTAAATGATGTTACTTAAAGCCGCTTTATCTGATGAAGTAAAACTGGCTGCTCCTCAATATGTGACAATAAATCACATTTTTTAATCATCACGTTAATATTACGTTTTATCTTTCTATTTCAAAACATTTTGTAACCAGAACGTTGAATTAGGCGGTAGCTCACTGCGATAAGAACATTCAACCCAGTGATTCCACTATAATAATCAGAGCATAAAAACGTGAGAACGTGGAGTTCCATGAACAATACACACACACACACACACACACACACACACCCCTTTAGGGTTTGTTAACTGCCCCACCACACCCACTTCAGTCCAAAGGAGAGCATTCCTACCTTTAGACTGTACACACACACACACACACACTTACGCTGCAGCAGTTGTGGCACGTGGCGTCAGATACGATTGTTCGAGAGGGAAATGCTTATGGTCATTTCTAATAATTAGGACTTAATGGTCCCAAGAAGAAACTTCACTGCAGAACCGCTTCCTCTTTCTGGGGCTC